CTTCAGTTTCCACGGGGCCGCATGCTTCCGAGTCCTAGGACCCAGGTTTACCCCAGGCACCCACCCAGCGATTCACACGAGACCTGAGTGGCAGGTACCCATCAGCATGCCCATAGCAACCGCTAACCACCTGCTGGGTCCTTGGGCCTGGCCAGACCCACCTGCCACCCTGCACCAGGGCAGGGCCCGTCCAACACTGAACCCTGTCTGCAAAGGCAGGTTGGTGCCTCTGGCTCAGGGAGCGTCTGGCCTGAAATCACTGTGCTCGCAGGTGCCACTCAGAGGAGAATGCAGGCAGGCAGGCGTCTGTCCCAACGCAGCCACCTCCACACGCCACGCCTGTCTCCAGAGGACAGTGACCTCAGGCTGGGCTCCTTCCTTTCTGCCACCTGCAGGGTCAGGTCCAGAGCTTAGCCTGGCCATGTCTGCACAGCGGTGCCCTGATACACCGGATGGCCACCCACTCATGCCCAGAGGAGCCCTCCTGAGCCCTCATCCATGTGGGGTGCCCAGCAACCACAGCGAATTCCACCTCTGGTCCCACGGCCTGGAGACGGAGTGTGGAAAGGACCTGGAGCAGACACCTCCACCAACACCAGTGACTCCAGGGCACAGTGGGAACAGCAGTGTCCAGGGCCTGTCACTTAGTAGGTGCTCAAGAAATAGTTGAAGGATAGATGGACGGACGGACGGATGGATCATAGCTGGGCACGTGTGAGAGAGCTCACGTTCCTTAAACCTTCGGGGATGAATGGAAAGAGCCCAGGAACTGCTGGGGTTCACCCTGGCCTCGGCCCTCCCTCTTTCCCTGTCTCTGCTGAACCTCGAGTTCTATCATTGCAAATATCCCCTGTCCTCAGATGTCCTTAAGAGACTTCGTTTTTCATGAAAGTTTTAGATTTACAGGAAAATTGATAAGATGGTGCCGAGTTCCGGTGGACCCTCCCCCCACTTCTCCCGTGATGAACAGCTCACATTAACGTGGCCCATTGGTTATAATTAATGACTTAACACTGATACATTATTACTAACTAAATTCCAAACTGTGCTCAGACCTCCTTGATTTTTGCCCACTGTCTTTTCCGGCTCCGGGATCCCATCCCCGTCACCACCGTGCAGTAGGTTGTCATGTCTCCTTAGGTTTCTCTAGACTGAGATGGTTTTTCAGACTCTTGTTGCTTTTGATGCTTTTGTTGTTGCTTTTGGTACCAGGGATTGAACTGAGGTGTGTTATCCACTGAGTCACATCCCCAGCCTTTTTTTTTTTTTTTAATTTTGAGACAGGGACTCACTAAGTTGCTTAGGGCCTCACTAAATTGCTGAGGCTGGCTTTGAACTTGAGATCCTCCTGCCTCAGCCTCCTGAGCTGCTGGGATTATACGCGTGCATCACCACGGCCTCACAGTTTTGAGGAGTATCAATCAGTTCAGCATCTTGTAGTCTGACCCTCCAGTAAAACACATCCCAAGTTTTTTCTCAAGTTTAGACTGAAGTTCGGATTGGGATGGGGGGCACCCAGAGACACAGCGCCATTGTCATGGCATCCTGTGGGGGGCACAGCCCCTCAGTAGGCATTATGGCTTTGATGCTGCCCTTTCTCAGTGGTTGGGTAGCGTTTGTGGGTTCCTGTTCTGTGGATCCACTGCCCTACTGTACTCTTGGGATGAAGTCAGCGTGTGCAGCCCTTGTTTGAACAGGAGCGAGCTACACCTCTCCAACTGAAATGTCTGAACGTCATCCATTTGGGACAATCGTGGCCACCCCTCCAAGTTCCTTCCTCAGGTGACACAATCCATCTTGAGGTCAGAGAGAGAGGTCAGCCTGGGAGTTCCAGGGACAGGAGGGCCTGCCTTGGGGGCCCTAGTATGCTCAGTAAATACCTGTCAAATCCAGTCACCATCAAAACCACACACACAGACCCTCCCGCCAGGAGCCACCGCCGCTCGGGCCACCAGTCTCAGAAATGCATTTCCATTACTTCCCTCGAGGGGGGTAAAGGTGTCTCCCAGGGACAGCGGTCACACCGTCTGCACAAAGCACGTCTGCAGACGACAGGTCCTGTTGTCGTCCTAACCACCAAGCACTCCTCTGGCATGCTCCATGTGTCTGGCCCTCGGGGGTCTCAGAGGTGAGGAAATGTGGTCCGCCTGATGTGAACTTAGACCAGGGGTATTCCTGATCTTAGGGGCCAAGACCGCAGCTGTGTGTTACCTCGTGGTTTCTGTGGATCAGAAGTCTGGGGACAGTGTGACTCAGCAGACTTCTCTTCTTAGGGTCTCAAGGGCAAGGCCAAGGTGTTCCCCAGGATCATGTTTCTTTCCAGAGACTGCGGGGAAGAGCTGCTTCCCCGCTCACTACGCTCCTTGTGGTTGTGAGACTGTGGTCCCCTGTCCTCCTAGAGTGGTGCCTGTCCCCCTTTCAGGCCGCCCTGTGGCCCCTCCACCTGACGCCAGCAACAGACAGAGCCCTGGGACTCCCTCTGACCCCACCCCTCTGGGTCTTCTTCTGCCTGGATCTTTAAGGGCTCCTGTGGTTACACTGGGCTCACCCAGAGAGGCCAGGATACTCCCCCTGTTTTAAGGTTACCTGTCTGTCACGGCTGCAGTCTGAATGCTGTGCTTCCCCCAAGTTCCCGTGTTGACCCCCGAACCCTCAAGATGATGACACTGGGAAGGACTGCCTTTGGCAGCTGATTGGGATATAAGTGCCCTGATGAAAGAGGCCCCAGAGAGAAGTCCCACCCCTTCCACCGCAGGAGGACACCAGAGGGCCCTCACCACTCAGTGAATCTGCCCTCACGTTGACTTTCGGCTTCTAGGACTGCAAGAAATAAATTTTTTGTTGTCAGGAGTATCCACCTTGAGGTGTTTTGTTATAGCTTCACAGACCAAGACAGCAGCTTTAATCACCCTGTGCGGTCCCTATTGCCTGTGTGGGGACCTCTTCATGGGTGAGGGGTGGCTCATGGTGCTCAGTGCCAGGGATCACAGCACTGTCTCCCATGGGGGCCGTAATTCTGCCTGCTGAAGTGCCACTCCATGCCCGTGCATGGGGTCCCATATGGAGTGTTAAAATGTGGATTCTCTCAGATGCCGCTGAGGCCGCTCTAGTAGCACATGGTGAACAACAAGGCTTCAGGCCAGGGAACCCTATTGTCAGCCCCCAGCGCAGGTCAGACTGCAGAGAGAACTGCAGCCCGTGAAACCCACGGTTCTCAAACTTATGGGGCTTCAGCAGCACCGGAAAATATGGATCACACAGCTCTCTGGAGCCCACTCTTGAGCCAGAAGGTCTGGGGTGAGATCCAGGAATTTATATTGCTACAAACTTTCGGCTGATGTTAATGCTGCTGGTCCAGGGGCCACACTTTGAGACCCAGTGCGTTCAGCCACGAGGCAGGCGGCCACTGCTTTGAGTGTTGAGTGAGAGGAGCGCCAGAAATCCTTTGGTTTTCAGGCATCCTCCTTGGAAGCAGTTTCTTTTTCCTTCCACTATGATCATACCTCTGCGAATCACATCTGAGGTGACATGGTGCCTTCTGCCGTCTAGCCGCTTTAACTGAAGGGTTTGGATTTTCTTTTCTTTGTATCCTTTTGTCTTGGGAGCACCATGAATTAGATCCAAGAATAGCTTGAATCCCTGGCATCACTAGCGGTCCCAAGCCCATCTTTTAAAATCCAAAATGTTATTTATTGTATTTTATTACAAAAGCAATATTCATCTGTCATACCAATAAAAAGAAAGGAAACAATCATAATCTCCCCCAAAGGCGACGGCTCGATTCCTCTAAGCCTTTTTGGGTGTTTTATATCCCCCTCCAGAAAAGAGAAAAGAAAGAAAAGAAAAAGAAAACACGGTACAAACTGTGTTGTAACCACTTTTTTTATTTAATATGTTGTTGTTTGTCAGATTTTTGTTACTGTAACAAAATACCTGAAACAAATTGATTTAAAAGAGGGAAGGTTTATTTGACTCACAGTTTCAGAGGTTCCAGGCCCTGCGTCAGTGGGCCCCATTCCGTCCAGGCCTGTGGCGAGGCAGCTCCTCATGGTAGGAGCCCATAACGGAGAAAGCTGCTCACCTCCTGGCAGCTGGGGAGCAAAGAGGGAGAGAGCAGAAGAGACCAAGCTCCCATAACCCCCTTGGGGGAGCATCCTCAATGACCTAAGAACCCCCCCCCCATTTAAGTCCCATCTCAGAAGGGGCTTACTCACCCATCACCTCCCACTGGTGTCATGGCTGGGGACCATGACGCTTTAACACACAGGCCTTTGGGAGACGCTTATCCAAACCATAGAAACCGTAAATATTTTTCTAACCGCTATTTCCACCCCCTTCCTTTCACCCTCCTTTGCCCAATAAAAAGCAGCTCACCGCTGTGAGTCCCTCTTGCCTCCTGCAAGCCTGCGGGTTGAGGGACACGGACGAACACAAAGGCTCCAAGTGGGAAGAGGCAAACCGCCAGGGCCCAGGGGGTCACAAAGCCGCCAAGCCCTGAGCCTTCAGTTGGCTGGAATTCGGGATCACAGAACTGACCCCTGCGCTTCTGCTTTTTTTTAGGATGTGATTTAAATGCCTCCTCCCAGACCTAGGAATGCTTCAGCCCCCAGAATCTAGCCCGTGAGGAAGCACCACTCAGGAACACTTGCCGTGTTCCTGGAGAGAACCCAGAGGGCTTCCGCTACTCGGGCCAATTCTCGGCTTCCAGAATTTAAGATTAATTGTAGAGGTGGATCCGAGATCAAAAACTTATTTCCTGTTCTCTGAACTGCAGACCCCTGCTCTCCCGGGGATAATAGAGGATCATGGCAAGAGCGAGGGATTTCACTAAAACTTCCCAAGCTTGCAGCAGAGAACTCACTAGAAACAGGGGACACACAGAGCCTGTGCCCACTCTCCAGGGGATTTCTCTCGGAACCTGCCAGGGGCAGGCTCCTCTCAGCCGGGGACACGCTCCTGTGGTCACAGGCCCCCGTCATGCCACTCCTCTCTCTCCACAGAATGAAGTGATCAGCCAGCAGCTCTGTGTCATCTTCACCCACTGCTACGGGCCATACCCCATCCCCAAGCTGACGGAGATCAAACGGAAGCAGACCTCGCGCTTGGGTGAGTAGCACCCTGAGGCCCGCCTGGGCGGCTCCTCCGTAATGCAGGGACAGGGAACAAACACCACGATAAGAATAAAGGACACGGTGGCGCACGCCTCTAATCCCAGAGGCTCAGGAGGCTGAGGCAGGAGGATGGCAAGTTCAAAGCCAGCCTCAGTAACCCAGCAAGGCGCTAAGCAACTCAGTGAGATCCCGGCTCTCAATAAAATATTAAAAAGGGCTGGGGGTGTGGCTCAGTGGTTAAGCACCTCTGGGTTCAATCCCTGACCAAAAAAAAATGGGGGTGAGAGGTGTTTCCAGGGCAAATGAGATAGACGGAGAGCCAGGCGGATGGAGATGGGATCGACCCCCCATCAGGCATCGCTCTGGAGAATCTCCCTTGGGAATGTGGTCAAGGAGACTTCCCAGGGCCTGGTCTTCAAAAGGTGGACTTTTGTCCCCTGGTCACAGACGTGGGGACAGCCGAGGTCTCCTGATCCACACGTGTCCCCCGCACAGTAGGCTGTGATAGAGGCCACGCTGCATGTGGTGACCCTGCCCCCCAAACTCCAAGTCCTCTAAGACCCTCCTCTTCCCTAGGGAGGAAGGAGCAGGGGACACTGAGGAGCCGGCTGTGTCCACTAGAAATCCTCCGTAGGGCAGAGGAGCGAGAAACGGCCCCCTCCACCTCACACACCCCCAAAGACACGAGGGGCACGTACCTGAGTTGAGGGGCTGCACGCTCCAGAATCCATGAAAGTCACCCCTGGTCACTGCACTGGCCAGCGTGAGCCTGCACCTGACCTCCTCTGTCTATAGGAACCCTCAGGCCCACAAGGTAACCCAGCCCACATTGTGGCTGGAACTTGAAGCCAGCTCCGCCCAAAGCCGTCACTCCACCATTGTGCAGAGCCAGCTTCTGAGAATTGATAGGAGAAACCGTCCACCAGGCACTGGGCTCGATCAGAGGACCCGGGGCTGCTGTGGCCTGCGGGGAAGGCAGAGAAACACCCCGGGCTTCAAGGCCTGAAACCTGAAGCCACTTTTGTAAGGGTCTGTCCCCTTACTTGCCTGGGGACCTATAAAATATTAAAGAGAAAGGATTCCCTTTCCTGTAGATGCTGGGAACTTTCCTACCCCGCGTCCTTTTCCTGTGGCCAGGAGGGGACATTTGAGAGATGGAAGCATCTGAAAATTCTCCCCTGTAACTAGACCACTCATTGGCCAGGGTGTGAAAAGGCTGAGTTCCAAAGTATTTTCATTCCTGTCGTGAATGACTTGTTAAAGGTAAACGAGACGCAATTTTTTGCGAAAAAGAAAAATCGAGCAACTGAATCAAAGGTTTCCTATTTATCTTTACATCTGTGCATGTGAGAAAACTGAGGTGTACCAGAGTGGCCAGGGTGTACCGGAGTTGCAGAAAACAGGTGCTGGTCAAATATTACCAGGGCACAAGTTGTAAAGATCAATTGAGTGAACAGATGTTAGACACTAAGGGTCGCATTCCCAGGACATGGGAACAATGTCTTATACCTTACAAAGTGTCCTCATTGGGGCCAGCATTTGCAAGGGCCACGTCAGTGACATGGCATAAAATCTGCTTTCCTGTGGCCACGGGGGGCGGGGTGGGGGGGAATGTTTTCTCCCAAATCTGCAGAGATTTCTCTTGCCAGCACTGAAAAGCACCCGGTTTTCAGCCCAAGCACTAGAATTCCAAGGTTAGCACCAAATGAAAAAGAAAAAAAGGGGGGCAGATCCAAGAGGCTCAGAGCTCACAATAAGGGGGGAAAGGGGGGCATCTTAGAATCATTAACAAAGGAAATGTGATTCTGGAGTGGTTTGCATCCTTGAGACGGCATTGCAAGCTGGGGTCGTTAAAGGTCGCCAAATAGTCATTCTTTAGGGACCTGCTCTAAGGGAGAGGTAGGAATGATCAGTGACAAGGGTCTCCCCTGGCCTGGCTGCAAGCCCAGGCAGGTGATATCAAGGAGTGAAATGGGTTCTGTGGGCGAATGTGGGAGCACATGCCCCGTTTTTTTGCGGCACAGGGTCTTCCAGCCCTCCCAGTGGATTCTGGGAGAGAAGGTAAAGAGAGCTGGGGGTAGGAGAGACTTGCCAGTTGGGGAACAGGATGGGGGCTGGATGGAGATGAGCAATAGGTATGAATAGCGGCCAGACGCAGGTCGCTGAGAAGCAGGAGAACAGCCTTCCACGCTCATCTTCAGAGCAAGTGGAGGAATGAGGTTCAGTCACCTGAGGCCTCCCTGGGGCTTCTCTTCCCTTTACTGGGGTGGTTTCAAGATTTTGAGAGACTTTTTTAATTAAAAATTAAAAATTATAAAAGAAAGTGGGATTATAGCTGACTTCAACTTTTTTATGCTTTTTTGATATTTCTAAAGTAAGAATTTTATCCCACGTGGGAAGAGGTGACGTAGCCAAGTCCCCACAGAGACCAACAAGCGGGCACCCTGGGGACCTCCAGCTGGGGCAGCACAGGGACCCGGAAGGCTCCTCTCTGAGTGAGAAGAGCAGCAGGACTGTCCAGGAGGTCAGCGGAGCCTGGCACAGCGGCACCAAGGCAGGGCCCCAGCCCATCAGCCGGGGACCAACTGCTGAGGGGTCCGGAATACAGGGGCCTGGTCCCTGTCCTCCACCACCTGGGAGCCTCAGCCAGCCCAGGGAGGCCGCCAGCTTCCTTCCAGGACAGCTCTGTAAGCCCTGGGGAAGGCACATCAGTGACAAGCAGGGTCCTGGCTAGGAAGGGCCTGACATCCTCAGCACTGCTTCTAGAAGAAAGAGGGTCCCCGTCATCTTTCATTCATGCAGAAGATACTGAGCATCTACTGGAACGGTCCTGTTTGTGGACCCACCACCGACGGCCATTCCGGTCAGTTGATGCATTTCGTCCTCACTCCTGTCCTGGGATCTTGGCCTGTCGCCAGCATTACCCTTCCCACTTTATGGAGGGGGAAACTGAGGCACAGGTAGACGTATAACCCAGCCAAGGTCATGCAGCTGAGACTCTGGCTTCAGAGTCACTCTCTTCCTGAAGTCAGAATGACAGGGACAGACAGGGATCTGCTTTCCTGACGGGAGGCCCCAACAGGGGGGACACTGGCTCAGAGGGAGGAGCGGGGGAGTCAGGCTTGGTGGGCTGTCTGTGCTGACCCAGCAGGGAAGAGCCAGGCTGGGCGGGGCTGGAGAGAGGACGGTGACAGGGCCCAGGACGGTGGGGTGGAGAGGATGGAGGGAGACGGGGATTCGGAACGCTTGGGGGAGCACGGCAGCTGTTTGGGGAGGTTGTGGGTGGCCCTGCGAGAGGAAGCTGTCCTGTTGCCTTGGGTCCCTGGTTTAGGCAACTACTGGTGCCATTCTTAGGGACCAGAGCCACATGTTGCAGGGAGAATCTTTTCTTAGGTGAGTGGGGAACGTGGTGGCTGTTCAGACTAGGGAACTGGGCAGAGCCATCCCCAAAAAAATCTTCAAGGTCGGCCTTGGGATGCTGCCGTTCAGCCAACTATTAGGGGGTGACCTACTGCAACCCCTCTAGAGGTTAGGGTCACCTTAGTCTCACCTGCTTGAGGACTGACTCAGAGACTGGGGGACAGGGGAGTTCCAGATCCCCAACAAGACACAGTGCTGGGCTGGGGACAGACTGGCACCTACAGGAGACTCGGGTCTGCATGGCTCAGGGACAAGTGAACTGGGGGAGGCCATCGGATCAGAGTGCCGAGTTCCAGTCCTGGCTTCCCCACGTGTCACTGGCTTGCACAGGTCATCGTACGCTCTGCGTGCTCAGCAGGCCAGCTGCCCGTGGGGTCGACGTGGACTCTGCCAGTTTGCACAGGGCCGGGCACACCAAGAGCTGCAACCCAGGAGTGCCTATGAGTTCCGTCATCTCTGTTATTATAAAAGATGATGACCGGGGACAGGCTCGTTTCTCACTGACCCTGGGAGAGAAGGACTGATCCTCAATCATCTGCAATCACAGGGTGTCGAGGGGCAGCTCAGTTGTGGGGGGACTGAGCCCAAGAAGAGGGAGTGGCACTCTCAGAGATGAGCAGGTGAACTCTGACTGCGGGTGGGTCTTCTCAGGGGAAGTACTAATTTTTAAGGGCAATTAAGATCTCCTGCGCCAGTCAGAATCTCAGTGCCCCGCGCCTTCCTCCGATGGATGCCGCCTCCTTTGGTCACTGTGGCCACCCATGGCCGTGGTCTCCCGCTGTGCTAACTTGTTCTTTCTGCAGGAAGAGTCCCAGCTTTCTTCACACTGAAGCCTTTCCCTCCTTTCTTGTTCTAGATCCTCATTTTCTTAACAATAAAGAAATGTCTGATGTCACCTTCCTGGTAGAAGGAAGACCATTTTATGCTCACAAAGTGCTGCTGTTCACAGCCTCCCCAAGGTACGTGTCGTCGGTTTTGCATGAAGCTCAATGAGGACTATGTTGCTATTTTGAAGTTCAATATCAGTGGTATCTGCTGGACTGACAGAGTGTCTTCTCCATATCAAGGATTCCAGGGTACAGGGTACCCCTTTGTGCAAACCAGAATGAGGCACCATGGGCAGAACTTTCTATGCAGAGCTCCTTCAGCCAGGTGCCCTTGTGCAGTGAACAACTGAGGCCCCTTACATGGCAGCCGCAAGAGACTCATCCTTTCTTAAGTGTCAGGGCACAGACTTAAGCCACCAAAATACAAAGGTTCTAATCCTCCTTTTCCTTAACTGTGGAGTTAACAGAGGATAGTATGTAGTAATAAAAGAAGAAATTGCCCACCCTCTCTGCTAGCTCCACCGTACTGCCCTTACTCCTACGGATTTCATGGAGTTGGGTTCTCACTTTAGAATCATAGTCCTGAGGTGGGAGGGGACACTGCGGACCCAGAAACAGAAGCCCCTTCGAAGGACTTTGCTAAGGGCTATGTGACCAGCACTCTATGGGTTACCCACAGCACGCTGGCATCTCCAGTGCCCCCAAAACCAAACACAAGTCCCCGATGTCCCCTTTGCAGACAACAAAAAGCACCCGTCCCTCGCGTAGCTCTTGTTTGTGACACCAGAGAAGCTGGATGGATAGCGAAGTCAGTTTCTTGGTTTTGACGAAGGTTCAACAGCCACCTAAGATGTTAGCCCTGGGGGACAGGCCCTCGGCACCATCTATCTGCAGCTCTCCTATAAATCTATCAGTATTTCAAAATGAAAATATTAAAGAGAGAGGGAGGGACAGCCATTCCCAATGTCTTTTGCTGCAGTGTGTTCTGCTGACAGGGTCTCTACCTTCCAGGAGCTTATGGTTTAGGAAAGGCCAGGACAGAAAGTCCCCTGTAGGGAGACCCTGAGGGAGTCAGCAATATGCCAGGCTCCTTCAGAGGGCGCAGAGGGACAGGCAGGGGGCAAGCTGATCATGCCCCGGGTGAGGGGGAGCCATGGCCACGCTCAGGAAGGGCCTGCAGTGGGTCCTGAAGGAAGACGGGGTTTTAAGGGCACCCATTCGTTTCCAATCACCAGGCCGAGAAAGGATGGACTAGTTCAAGACACTTCTTAGCTTCCGAGTTTTAGCTTCCAGTTTGGTGCTGATAGAATCCAGGGAGGGTTTAACTTTGAAGTCTCGGGCACTGTCCTCGCTGTATTTCAGAGCTGGGTGTAAAGGACTCCTGTCCTGAGCAGAGCCGAGGTCTTGCACCCCGGGGGTGTGCGTGTCTCTTGATCCTCCTTTGTGTCTTGCCAGGTTCAAAGCGCTCCTCTCCAGCAAGCCGGCCAACGACAGCCCCTGCATCGAGATCGGCTACGTCAAGTACCCCATCTTCCAGGTGAGCCCTCAGGTGGCCTGTGCTGGTGGCGCAGAGCCCACACGGTCGCCTTCTTCCCCCAGCCTGGGGGTCTGCCGTTGGAGAAGCCCCCGCAGAGAGCTGACCGCTTCCAGCGCTCTGGGCTCCTGCCCACTTAGCCTCCAGCAGCCCACGGGCACCTGCCTTTCCCACCGAGCTGGAGGCTGGGGACACAGAGCTAAGGGACACCCTCTCCCAGAGACTCACAGTCTAGAGGGGGTGACTGAGCAATTAGTATGTGAGAGATGGGGGTGACCAACGTGCTGTGACCACTCAGGCAGGACAGTTGGGGAGGCCTCTCAGATGAGTCCTCAGAGCTGAAGGATCAAAGGCCAAGGGACAGCTGGGGAGCTCAGGAAGAAGGCTGAGCTCAAGAAAGAGGGTTAGAGCGAGGAGAACTGCAGGCCCGACGTGCCCGCGTGGTGGCTGAGCAAAGCGTGATCGGGAACCCGCGGGCTTTTAGGAACCCAGGGTCGTTTGAACCTTACTCTGAACCCAGCAGAAGCAGGAAAGGAGCTCGGTGCCGTGGGCAGTGGCTGGGCCTGTGGCTTTGAGGCGCACAGCAGCCGCTTCCCTTCCCCTCCCTCCTGGTGCCTGGTTCCTAAGCCTCCTGTCCTGCAGCCAGGAGGGACCCATGCCCCCAGTTCCTTCAGAGCCGGATTTCCAGAGCTCCGAGTCCCACTGGGGCACCAGGATGCTGGCCGGCTCCTTACTGCCACACAGGCCAGGCCTGCAGGGAGACCAGGGTCCCCACACTGTCTTCCCCCAGGGTGGCTGGGGATGGGGTTCACAGAACTCCTCAGAGGCACCTGGTTCCTCCAGCTCAATTCAGGAAGGATGACCCTGGAGAGAGTCCGCCGTGGGGAAGACTCAGGCCTCCCCGGAAGCCTGCTCTTCTAGAAGGGCTGGTGGGCGTTCAGAAAGCAGGAGGCAGGACTGACCATGAGCAAGGTCATGAGGAGGAGGTCCTGACCTGGGTCTTGAATGACAGGGCCACACTCCAGGAGGCCCCTGTTTGAAACCTGTGCCCCCGTCACCGTAGCATGCACCTATAATCCCAGCTATTTAGGAGGTTGAGGCAGGAGGATTGTGAGTTCAAGGCCAGCCTCAGCAACTCTGCAAGACCCTGTCTCAAAATTAAAAAAATAATAATAATAAAATAAAACAGGCTGAGGATGTAGATCAGAAGTGAAGCATTCCTAGGTTCAATCCCAGTACCAAAAAAAAAAAAAATAAGTTAAAATCAGTGCCCCTTGTGTGAGCTTGAGCAAATCATCCAATCTTTCTGAGCCTCAGTTTCCTCATCTGGCTAAGGGGAGAGAGGGAGAGCTAAACCAAGGCTCAAAGTGGAAAGCTGAGGGGTGTGTTTGAGGAAAAGTGACCATCAGTCCATTCACTCTGTGCCATTACAGTGTATGGGAGGCTAACGATGCATTGAGACCACACAGTGTGGGAACAAGGAGAGCCAAATGGCAGCTCCTCCCTCCACCACTGAGGCCCAGATCCTGCTGTGGGGAGGACCACTAAGAAGGCACCATGCCTCACACTAGCCCCAAAGCTTGCTGCTGAGGTGCCTGAATTTCCACCATTAGAGATGCACTCCTTGGTGATGATTGAAACTTCAAAATAAAGAACCCTCCCTGAATAACCAAGAACAAAACACTCTAAACCTCTTTTTAAAAAAACACCAAGGGATTCAACCCAGGAGTGCTTTACCACTGAACTATATCCCCAGCCTTTTTGGGTTTTTTTGTTTTGTTTTTGTTTTTGTTTTTTTTTTGAGACAGGGTCTCACTAAGTTATTGAGGACTTCACCAAATTGCTGAGACTGGCCTAGAATTTGCAGTCCTCCTGTCTCAGCCTCCCTAGTCACTTGACATATTAGTCATTGTCACCTCTGTGTCTTGGGTTCTGGAAGAGATTCGAATCCCTTGCAGAGATCAAATAAGACAATGTGAGAAGACATCCACCTTGCACAATGGGCACATTGTGGCAATCTTCAAGTGGGTGGTCTTCTAAGCTGCAACTGATATTATCACCTCCCTGCTATGCTCAAGACACAGGAAGTGTCTCCCACTAACGTGGAGGAGGTTGGGGATCAGAGAAGACACCGGAGCCTTCAGGTGGGCTGGGAATGGGCACAGTCCAGGCATCCGCATGCCCTGTTCCCCTCTCCCAGGCTGAGGGCTACTGAGAGCAAAGCAGCCGCAGCCCCGTCCTGAATGACAGCTGGTGGATTTGGAAGCTGCCAGGAGATCATTGCTTTGCCTTAGGGTTCGGGGTGAGCGGCATGAAGTCACACTTCAGGAGCTCTGTGAGGGCCTGGCCTCTGCCCACATGGGTTCTCGGGCATATTATTCCTGGCATTTCTACAGATGAAGAAATTGAGACCCAGAGAACTTCAAGAATGTGCCCAAAGTCTCAGTCCTAATAATAACAGACAGAGCCAGGATCTGAACCCAGTCTGTCCAGTAGGAACCTTGTTCGGGAGCATCTTCTCTAAATAGGAATCGTGATTAGAAGGACAGTTTCCCTTCCTGAGCTTCAACCAGGTGTGAGGCTTGAAGCCTGCTTCTCAGCCTCAGCTGGCCCAGTGGAACTCCCAGGAAGCTCTGAAAATCGCCAGGGAAGACCCCGGCTATTCTCGAGACCTGTTAAGTCAGCACCACAGGGTGGGGCCCAGCATCCGCATGAAGCCTCTCCCCCTCCCATCTCCCCATGGCAGCCCAGGTGGAGAACCAGTGCTCTGAGGTACACCATGCTCTTGTACATCAGCAGGTGTCTGAACCACCTGGGGACAGGTAGGAGACTTGTGAAAACACAGAAGTCGTGTTGAATGCAGGCACCTGGGCCGCCCCCCACCCCAGCTGATTCTGCAGACATAAGAATTCACATTTCTAACAAGAACCCTGGGGGGTGCTGCTGGGGTGACCCTGGAACCGCTCTGTGAGGGAGCTCTTTCACGCGGCCCCCTCCTGGCACTCTGTGGGGTTTTCTTCCCTTCCTCCCCTCTGGGAGGGCCCAGGCCCTCCTTAGAGCCGCCCAGCCCTGCAGGAGAATCTGACAGCCATCAGAGTTTGAAGCTTGAGCTGCAGGCATAAGAACGTGCGCTTCCCCAGCTCTCCAGGTGCTCGTGAAAGGGCCACTGCTACCATTAAGCCTGGGACTAATTGGGGAGGTTCCTGGAATAAGAAATTGGCTCATAGTAGACGCTCAATAAATATTCGTGGAGCGGATCCACTGAATAAGAGCCCTGCGTGGGAACGGACCGCCTGAGCAGAGTCACAGGCCTGTAATTGCTTTCACTGGGGATGGTCTCCTGGCCACATTAGCCTCAAGTTACTGTAATGGGAAAGGACAACTTAACAGGCTCTGGGGACTCCTCCCTGGGCAGGCCCCATCCCCATAAAAGAAGAAAAGCCTCATTTGTGGCTTGAAATAGGCGGAGGAAGGCTGCATGCAACCCGGAGGGAGGCCTCCTGGGGCCTGTGCACTTCATTCCGTGTTGGTAGAAGTTTAGCAAATGAGCCAGCTTTGGGTTCCACCCCCCCAACCCCGCCCCCCCAGATTGTTTAACATCACGCAGGCAAGATCCCAGCAGCTGAGGCTGCACCTGGAAGCCTGGGCCTCTGCGAGGCTGTGAATACCATTCTGCTCCTGCTTCCTGCAGGTTGGCTGCTGCCAAGAAAAACAAGTCCATAAATAAGCCCCGAGGCCTAATAAGGGTGCATTTCACCTCTGCAGAAGGCTTGTGCTGTCAGCGGCTGGCGGTGGCCTGGGACAGCCCAATTTAAATTCCATTAGCCCCAGGACCTCCAGCCGCTAAGGAGAGCATTTCAAGTCCGTGGCTCAACCTTGACTAAATGAGATAACAGGATACAGAAGTGCTTTGTAAACGAAGAGGCCCTCCATTTACCACGGAGGGCTGGGGTTGGATATCACTGTTATGCTGCTTATTATTGTTGTTTGGGCCTGTGTGAAAGAGAGGTGCTCAGGGAATGCAAAATTGATCTCAGTAAGGCCAAGATCCCTGCGTTGGCTGACGTGGTCTTGTGGATGCTTATGAGCCATCGGGGTGGGAGAAGGGAAGGTGAACCATGCCGTGTTATTTCACAAGGTCCTGCTGCCACCAACTCTGTCAAAAGCCTGGCGTCAGTACTTCCCAAACACAAAAGAGGCAGGGGAAGTTCTGTGTTTATGGATAGGGAATAGGGGAGGGAGGGAAAGGGAGGGAGGATCGGAGGAGTAAGGATAGTGGAAGGAGACGGTCATCATGATACAAAACTCATGAATGAAGATGTGAGTTTGGTGTCAACATACCATGAATGCACTGTGCTCCTTAAATGGTGGCCCGAGGGTCCTGACCCAGGGAACTCGTTCTGTCCTCATCATGACCCCGTGAGGCGGGCAGTCTCACCCCCACTTTACAGAGATGAGCCAAGTTCAGGCTTAGCTTGGCCCTGCTCGTGGACGTGCCCCAGGGGCGGGGAGCCACAGATTTCAGTGTGCCGCTCAGGAAGACTCTTTCCAAGTGGGCCTTCCCGCGCGAGGCAGTGGGTGGACGTCCCGGAGTGGACGTGCCTGGACAGCTTACTGATGTGCCGTGTGACAATGCTGGCTCACCGTGTCCTCTCTCCCTTCCAGTTGGTCATGCAGTATCTCTACTACGGAGGCCCAGAGTCACTTCTCATTAAAAACAACGAGATCATGGAGGTAAGGAGCCCACGTGCCCTTGACCCCCTGGGCTCCCCTGGGATGGGGGGAAAGCCACCTCAGCAGCCTCTCAGGACTACACTGGGTGAAGGCCTTGAACTGCTAGTCCCCCAAGGGGGCCCTTCCGGTTGCCCTCAGTGAACCCCGGTGGTAACTGTCACCAAGAAGTCGGGGGTAGCCCCAGCCTGGCCCAGCTGGGGCTCCAACAGCATCATCAGAAAATGTCCTGGGCGATATCTTCTCCCTTGTCATTGGTAAAAGAATCACATCCACCGTAACATCCCTCAATCCCAGGCTGTCCCCCTCCCAGGAGGCAGAAGCCAAGGCAGAGCGCCGATCCCTGCCGGCTGTCCCCCTCCAGGGTCCCTGTTCCTGCCCCCTCTGTCCAAGGCTGAGAGTGCCCCCTGCTCCTTTCCAGATGTGGAGCCCAAATCAATCTCCCCAATCAACGATGGGAGTCTCCAGAAGCCAAAACTCACTGCCGTGATCCTGAGCAAAAGAGCCAGACCCCACGGTGGGTCAGCCATGGACACGGGGCCAGATTGGGACTGCATTCAGGCACTGCCACTCCTGAGCTATGTGACCTTGGATAGGTTATTTGGCCTCTCTGAGCCTCGGTTTCCTTGCCTGTAAAACAGCAGTAGAGTAGCTAGCCCACTGGATTTCCTAGAGGAGTCTAAAAGCATCTGTTTTTCAGTTGCTGGGCACAAATGCCACGTCCTTTTCTTCTTGCTCTTTCCTCCCTGCCTCACTGCCCTCCTCCCAGACACACAGCGACTCCCTGGTTTCTCTGGACCCCTCCTCTGATACTTCTCACCCATCTCAGGTGACAGGCTGAGGACCAGGTGACAGGCTGAGGACACAGGCTCGTTTTTAAGCCTTTTTTCTTTTTAATTACTTTAAGATCAAAATAATAAATGCTTTTAAAATTTTTCATTTACTCTAAAGGACATAGATGCACATCCAGCTGAAGAGGTCCACAGAGCAGGATGGGGAAGGGTCCCAAGCCCAGGAGCATCTGTCCCCACAGAGCTGGGGGTACCCCTTTCCAGCGCGGGGCTGTGTTTGCCAACCAGGATGGTCTCTGAGCCCGGTCCGTTGGGGATTTTTTGGAGGCAAATGCGTGTGCCTTTAAACTGTTCAGACCACAGACCACGCAAGAGGATTGTAATGAAAATGCAGCCCCCGCCCCGCCCTGCCATGTTGACATCCATGGCTTAAGTGACACCACTCACCCTTATTTCTGGACATCTCTTAGGCATTCCGGGCTGCACGGGGCTCCCTGCCCCCCCCCCTCCTCCATCCTCCCCATGGAGAGCTCTGTCGCTCTGTCTGGTTCCTCTGGTGTCACCTTTCTATAGGGACAGCTTTATTTCCGGTCTCTCCCAACACTTCTGTGGCAGGTGCTTGTCCTGGGGTCTCCGTATCTTCTCGTGGTTTCTCTCCCCCCCACCCCACCCCCGACCTCTGACCTTCTCGTGGTTTTAGCTTCTGTCTGCCGCGAAGTTTTTCCAGCTGGAGGCTCTGCAGCGGCACTGCGAGATCATCTGTGCCAAAAGCATCAACACCGACAACTGCGTGGACATCTACAACCACGCCAAGGTGAGCCACCCTGCCCTGCCCGTCCCTAGTAACCACCTGCTGCTTCTGGTCTCTGTGAAATTGACTACTCCAAGGACCTCACAGAAGTGGAAATATATAAAATGCGTCCTTTTGTGACTAGTTTATTCTACTCAGCACAACATCACCCCAGGAACTCACCCCAGTCCCCCCTTCAGGGAGGAGCTCCAAGGGTCCAGCAAAGGGTGGAGAGTCAGGGCTGCTTCTGCAGACAGCCCAGCGCATCTCCGAGGCGTAACCACCCCGCTTCTCTCTGCCCCCCACAGTTCCTTGGAGTCACAGAGCTCTCTGCATACTGTGAAGGCTACTTCCTCAAAAACATGATGGTCCTCATCGAAAATGAAGCATTCAAGCAGCTCCTATATGACAAAAATGGCGAAGGAACGGGCCAGGATGTGCTCCAGGACTTGCAGAGGACGTTGGCCATCAGGATTCAGTCCATCCACTTGTCGTCTTCCAAAGGTTCCATCGTATGAACCCCCAGCAGAGCGAGGGCTTCCCGGGTCCTTTCCGATTCTCCTGCTGCAAAGGCTTCCCACGGACACGTCCCAATTCCACCTGGCGTCTGTTTTTGGCTGAGCCAAGGAGCTGCCCCAACTGCCAGCTTCTCTTGAACAAGCAAACTCGGCTCCCACGCGCTCCAGTTGAAACCCAGAGACGTTCCCTGGCGGGCAGATCCAACCGCGGCGGGGTCCAGAGCTTGAAGGTCACCATGGGGCGGCCAAGCCAACTCCAACCTGGAGACCGCTGTCAAATGAATGGATTGAGGCCGAAAAGCCTTTGGGGTTCTGACTGACAGCTGGAGGACCTACTAATGGTACCAATTCCGACGAGCCTGGTATTAGATGTTCAAGACCTGGGTAGCCGCATCTGGGCGGCTGTCAATCATGGTAGCTAATCGGTGAGGCTGTTACCCATAATGAGGAAATCATCTGGCCAGTTTTTAGGGGCGGGAACTTTTTTAAAATGTTCATAATATAACAAAAACAGGGCAGTCTTGTCGTTTCAAATATATTTCTAAAAGCTTAACAGTTCATTTTTAACTGAATTGTGTTTAGGGAATCTATGTTTCAAGATTACTGTCTTCCTTTTTTTCTTAAAGCAGTGAAGTCGCAGGTCCACACTGCATCTGACAAATTATTGCTGATATTCTACACAAGGTGAGATCCTCTTGCCTTTGTGCTCATGGTTACACAAAAGAGGTGCACTGCCAATAATTATCTCTAATCCAATAGTTGAAAACAACCTGCATGCTAATCGTGGTTTCGGGGTGAGAATAGAACACCCCCACATAACAAGACATGCATTTGCATGGACCCAAACCTGTACCATGTTATGTTTTGTGCTTCCCTTTTTCGGCAAGGTCAAAGTGTTCCACCACTTCTTGCTAAAAGTCCACTTGGTGAAACTAACATATCCATTTCTTCTCCTGATTATGAATGATTCTGGGGTGCTTTTGCAAAAATGTGTTCTTAGATGATGCTGGATGGGGGGTGGGGGGAGCACGTCAGAAAATTTATTAATCCCAGAGCTTTCTCTGTATTCTCAGAAGATGTTAATAGTTTGTTATAGCCAGAGAGTATGACTATGTTAGATTATTTTTAAAGACCAAACATGTATGATAGAGTGGATACTTTCTGTATTCTGAGAGTGTACAGTATAGGGTTATCTATAATGAAAGTTTATATAGAAGGGTTCCGTTTGCTCTGCCATATATTATATATATACGAATATATATATATATAAGCAAAAGAGATTGGTGAAGTGCCACAATATTCCAAATAATTTTTGAGTTGCGGCCTTTTTTCTCATTCTTTGGTTGAAAAACCTAGGTACAAGCACTTAAAACTAAGAGAAGACTTTTTCCCTTTGGGATGGCAAAGTTTTATCAATAAAACTATTTCCTAGCATGCCCTTGGGAAGTTGCGCCAGAACCTAGATTCTAATGGAGCCGCTGTCTGTCTTCCTGTTTGCTCCCTGAGCCTTTGATCGGAGCACCAGTGTCAAGTCTGCTTCAGGCCACCTGTGTCTACAGCACTGGCTCCTCTGTGACACACACACACACCTAAGGCCTGTCTCCCACATGGTCATCTGCAGACCTCCCCAGCCCTTCCATCCACGGAGGAAGGAAACAGCTACCGGAGGAGAAGGCCACGTCACAGATACGCAGTGTGTGCACACCTGCTGCCTCTGCCTTCAGAGAGACGGTGGGGACATCCCTCCGCCTCAGCTGACCCCTCTGTGAATGTCTGCTACTAGTTCAGGGTCCCCAGGCATTGATCTGTACCTTGGCAACTCCCACCAGGGCTTCTGTTAGTTTGGTGTGCTTTCTCTGTCATTAAAAGAAATGATTTTCCCAAGCCTGGCGTCATTTATATGGTACACGTGAGCTTTTTACCCAACAGTTGAAGCCTGAGAACTTCCTCAGTTAAGATTGGAAAATATGACTGGGCAGAATATCGAGGGGCCTGGAGAGACTAGATAGAAGGCGGCTGCCCATGTTGCTGGTGGGGGCAGGGGGCTGACTGGCTCCAGGGCCCAAGGTCTGCTTCTGGGTAATGGCCTGGGGTTTCCTTCCCATCAGGCAGAGGGGCTACGGGTACGGCCACCTGGGCCACTGCAGGGGTACTGTTGCCCACTGTGGGGCCCTTGTTCTGCCTGTCCCTCCCGTATCTTGATGACACTTTGGGGGGATGGAGGGACAAAGAAAGACAAGCCACCTCAACATCATATACCCCCACTGAGGACGGCATAAGCTGATGCCACTGGACGGGGTGGGGGCCTGGGGTACAGGAGGGACACACAGCTTTATTCTTAAGTGTCTTCCTCCTGAGGTCAATCCTGGTCCCCAGGTGTTCTGTCTGGTTCCTGGCCCCACCTGAGTCTTACCTAGTCCCCTGGCTAGGCCACGAAGGCCCACCAGAAGCTGGGGAGAAGCCAGGCTATCCAAGGACACTGAGCCATGCAGAGCTGGCTGGTGCAGAGCTGACCCCACCCCTACCCCCAGAACGACTCCCCACCCCGGCAAAGCAGCCCAGATCTGTTTCTTCTTTAAGAAGCAACCAAGTGCCACAGGCCAGAACTCTGAGTCAGGCCAGGAGAACAGAAGGTCGATTTATTTCTGACAGTGCACCACCCTCTGCCCAGCCTCGGGTGAGCAAGCGTTTGATCCGTTCCTTTCAGGAAGATGGAGTGCGTGCCGGGGCATTTGACTTTTACTGTCTGATGGGCGGCTTTGTCTTTGGGGCCACAGCAGAGCCTGTCCAAGGGCTCCTTAGCATCTGGGAGGTAGGGAGGCAGGGAGCCCTGCCTGCCATGAGCCCCCTCCACCCCGCTATTTGCAGCGGGACCCTAGAAACAGTGGATGTGTGTAGCTGGCCAAATAAACCCCAAGGCCCGACTCGACTCGGCTTCTGTGCCCACACCAAAAGCAATGCTCTTGTGCATGCTGCCTGAACACCCATCGTCCGTTCTACTCAACAGGGGACACCTCACCACCAACAGAACAGGGAACGAGTGCCCCTCACGGAGGCCCCCACAGGAGGGCAGTGGGACAAAGGACCCCAGAGATCCCCACCCCTGAGACTCCATTGGAGTTCTGTGTTCTGAGTTTGGATGTCACACGGCTATTTCCTATAAAGCTCCAGGCAAAAAGAAAAATGTTCCTCCTGCTGGGGTGGGGGGGGTCCAGACCTTTTATCACAGGGTTAGGGTTAGGGTTAGGGTTAGGGTTAGGGTTAGAGTTAGGGATCTTACTAACCCCAGGATGTTCGAGGATTTCACTAGTCACAGGGTCTCTGTCTTCAGAATTCAGTGCTCACCTCTCTCTACCCCACCTTGCATGGGCCACCTGGAGTCACAGATAAAGGTGGCAGAAGTACCGCCTCCCACCATCTATCTCTATCTTATCTCCCTTTCCAGCTGACCCCTAGCAACCCTTTTCCTGGGTCCCTCCACTTGGGAGCCCATTCAGGAAGATAAGTCCAGAGGAGACCAAGTCCAAGTGCCTAGCCATGGACTCCAACCCAAGCCTGTTCCCAGCTCTTCAGCCCCAGACTAGCTTTGAGACAGACACCGGACAAGTTACTCATCTAATTTGCATTTTCTTCTTGAAAACTTGGGTTTAACTCTCATAACTCACGGTTAAAGGAGGCATTTTGCATGAGTCCTGCACTGTTAGTAACAGAGAAAAGTTATTTCCAAGCTTCTAAGGCTGAGAAGAGAGAAGGAGAAAAATGCCAATTCACACCAGGAAAGGAAGGTTAATGATTTTTGCCTTTTGATTCTATAACTTTCTGTAAGAGCACTTCCTGCGACAGTTTGGGATCCTAGGAATTTGCTTCTTATTCCAGAAGAATGGGAAAATTCCCCCAAAACTGGGCTCTTTGGTAATTCTTCCCTGGAACAGTGCCCCACCCAAGGTCATCTCTCCAGAAATGTTTAAAACACCTGAAGCCAAGTTCAACTGGTTTTGCTTTCTTGTAAATATGGTATTTCCTAAATATTAGCATTGCGGGGAGGGGGGGGGATGAGCTCTTGGAAACTCCCTGTGGGCTCAGGAATGTGACTCAGGTGACACAAGACCTCCCTGCTGTAGGTGGAAGATCTGAGGCCCCTCCAATGGCCAAATACCAGAACCAGCTCTTAATCAGGGCTTGAGGCTTAGGTTCTGCAGAGAGAAGGCAGTCACCGCCCCAGAAGCAACCCTACTGCATGTCAACTCCAGGAAACCTGGGACAGCTGCCCTCATCAGCCTGTCCTGCCACGCAAGCATGTGGACACTGACCCCACCCCACCACCCAGAGGCATCCTGATGAAGCTCTCACCTCCTTTCCCCCCAGACCCACCAGGCGCCCCCGAACAGAGCAGCTCGTGCCTGCGGACAGCGCCACTGCAAAGGGAAGCGGGTGTGAGCCTATTTTTCACCCCCTTTAAAAATAACCCAGCAGATTTGGAACTTCCTGCTTGAGAAGAAAAGAAAATAGAACTCTGTGCCCCGTAATCACAGCGCACTTTAGCTCCCGTTCCTGATGAGCAGTCAGATAGCGCCAGGATTAGCTCTGAATTTGAAAAGACAATCTGTCGCTGTGAATAGCCAATTAAAAGAGATGCCCTGGCCCTGCCGCTTCCTGCCGCTGCTCCTCCAAGCTGACTTCTGGATGAGTCCGGAATGTTAATGCCGCCTCCAACCTCTGAGATGAGGGGCTGCCAAGGGTGGAGGCTGGTGGCCATGAGGGTCCTGAGGCCATGGTGGCCTGCTCCTGCCCCCTGCTGCCTGGGTGACCTTGGCCAGCCCTCTCCTCCCTTCTGCACCCGATTCCTCAGCTGATGATCTGACGGGGACATGCCACCCTCCCCTTACCACACTCACATAGGGGCCTTGTGATAGCACCAGGTAACGGGTAGAGAAGACGTAGAGAAAGGGACCTCAACCTTCAGGAGAACAGGCTTCCAACACGAGAGCAGATAGAAGCCTCAGAACAGGCTCCGAGGCCATCCTACCCTAAAGATCGTAGCTCACTAGATCATGGCCACAATGCTTCTCTCTCTCTCTCTCTCTCTCTCTCTCTCTCTCTCTCTCTCATGTTAATATTTTTTTAGTTGTAGATGGACACAATATCTTTATTTTATTTGTTTTTATTTTTATGTGGTGCTGGGGGATCGAACCCAGTGCCTCACGCATGCTAAGCAAGCGCTCTGCCACTGAGCCACAACTCCTCCAGCCCGGGGTCACTTTTTATTTTGAAATAGTTACAGATTTAACAGGAGGCTGCAGGTAACACAGAGGAGTCCTGTGCATCTCACCCAGTGCCCCTGGGGGTGGCGTCTTATGTGGGTCTAGCACAGTATCAAAACCAGGAAGCCGACATGGGTACAGTGTGGACCCTCTGACGGCACATGCAGACTTGTGTAGGCACCACCACAAGCACTACTCCATCAGCAGAAAATCTGCCTCCCTCACCCCTTCCTCCAGGTACTGTAGCCCCTACAGTGGCAGCCACTCATCTGTTTGCCATTTCAAGAATGTGGCATAAAAGGAACCATACAGCAAGTCACCTTTCAGGACTGGCTTTTTCCCACCCAGCCTAATGCTCTTGAGATCCAGCTGAGGGGGCTACATATAACAATTGTTCATTCCTTTTCATTGCTGAGTAGTATTCCCTGGAGTCCCCTCTCATTCTCTCACTTCCTCTCAGTCTCTGCAATGCTGGGGATGGGGGCCTGGAGAATGCTAGCCAACTGCTCTACCACTGAGCTACAGCCACTTAAATGAACACAGGAGCATGTCAAAAAGGGTGGCAGAGAGATCTCTCAACTCTGGCAGCCAAGTCTCTTAGCCATCACTTTTGGAAAACAATCATCTCCTGAGCACTAAACACGGGCTCTTCCTCATCCTATAAAAAGCACTCGTAGGTAACACTGTTCCGTGATGTTAGTTCAGTACATCTGAGTCGATGATAGGTCCCTGAGGTTCATCAGTCCACCTGGGCTAAATGGCCTTCAGCTCTGCGACAAGGTCCTTCTATGGTCCATTGACTTTCAGACATCTGGCTGATGGTGTCAGGTGGTGTTTTCAAACTTACTCTGCATACAAAGCCCTGAGGATCCTGTGAAACGTGAGACCCGATGACTGGGCCTGGGTTGGGGTTTAATCATCCGGGAGCCACGGCTACTGCAGCTGTCCAGGGACCACCCTTTGAGTAGCAAAGGTATTAAAAAAAAAAAGAGAGAGAGAGATCAGAAATTGACCTCTGCTGTCAGACCCAGCTGCAGCTTCTGTGCTGTCTCCTGGCCTTCCTAGAATCTCCACCTGGAAGGTTGTTAGGACGTGGACAGTCAAGACATGTTAGCAGTACATCCAAGAAAACCGCTGGCCATCCTAGTTTGCAGGGCGAGGATTCAGTCTGTGTTAAGCCTAAGGAACTACTTACACCTAACCTGCTTCTCCCTTCCCTTTCCCTGGTCTGCCACTGGTCTACATGAGACTTATCATTTCACAGGTACACACGGACGCCCTTGTCCACGTAAGGGACCCGCCTCTGCTGTGGCATTAAGCGCCCACCTCTCTGTCCCTCTTGTATTTGTCCTTGCCTCTGGGTTGGCAGCAGAAGACTCTTGTTTAAGACTCTGTTGGGAAGCTTCCTTGTGCCCTCCCGAGAGCCCCTGGGAGTGGGAGGGAAGACCAGGAGGGGAAGAATCAGAGATGCTGTCCCTCCCTCGTCATGTCCACCATGGAGAGGGCTGAGTGACGCATCTGGTTCAAAATGGCTGAGGATGACCTTGAGCTTGTCAGTTGTGTGCTGTGGGGGATGAATCAGTGGGGAAGAAGAAAAGTGGCAGGTTTGATCCCTAATGCCTCATTACTTCCTTTCCTTGTCAAGGGAAGGGCTTCAAAGGAATCACTCTTCATGCATTAAAGATGGTGTCTGAGCAGGGAGGGGGCTCCCAGGCTGTTTTCTGTTGAACAGGTAATTAAGAAAGTACGGAGAGTCTGTTTTTATAAAATTCTCTGGACAGGCAATGAATCTCTGCCTCTTAAATACTAGGGTTCAGGTGACCAGTGAGTTTAATGGAAGTCGGCTGTGCAGGGGGGGGGTCCCCTCCGTGCACCAGAGTCAGTCACCTCTCCACAGTTACACGCTCAGCTCACGATTCACGTGAGTCAAGACTCCCAGCTAATTTTAAAATGAAAGGGGGGTTTTGCAAAGATAGTAGAGGAGCCATACAACTGTTGACTGGGCTGGAGAAACCATTAAAGGCAAAGCCTTAGAAATAACTAACAAACCCTGATTCGGAGCTGGCGCGATGAGGTCACTGCGGGTCGCCGCTACCACCAAAACCACAGAGGCAGAAATGACTAGTGGCAGTTCTGCGGTTACCAGGAACTGAACTTCAGTGCCTGCCCCCGCTGCAACCCCCAATGCTCTTCCTGAACCAGGGATCAATCTGCGCCCCCCAAAAAGCTCCATGGGATGAGATGCAAGCTCCCTTGGCCCCTGGCGTCCCCTTCATAATTTGGGCGCACCCATCTGGCAGAACCAAGGTCACATGACCACATCTTGGCAGCAGAGAAGGCTGGCAGATCCAGCTCTCCCTTCTGTAAGGGAAACAGGACATAGACTGTGGGGTTTCCACAAGTAGAAAGTTGGTGGGTAGCTAAGAACATGACAAGGGTCCCCTACACTTGACAAAGGTCACAGAGAAACTGCAGCCTCCCCAGAAGGAAGTAACTGGAAGGTGGAAGAAAGCTAAGGAAGCAGGCTGTGGCCTGGAGAAGGGAAGACAGCAATGACCATCACGGCCATGCTCAGCTGGCAGAAAAGGCTCATAGATCAGAGGAATCTGCTTCATTCAGGGAGGCCAAGGTATTAGAACTGACCCAACGGTGCACTCTTCCAAGAGTCAGATTTCACCCAAGTATAACTAAGAGCAGATGAACAGGTGATGAGCTCCCCATCACAGGGAGCATTCAAAAATTGCTAGTCAACCCTTTGATAGAAGTTCAAGCCATAAAGACCTTTAGAATTTCGAGGTCCCTATAACTCAGGGATATCATCATAATTCATTCTCTCCTGATATGAATCATTTATTTGGTCTCAGAAAACGGGAATCAATCTTGATGGAGTTCATGTAGGATTGGTAATGACCTCTCTCTGCCTTCATTTCTTTTCTTTTTTTGCCAGCCCTGCGTTTCATTAAAGGCTGCCACCCTATTTATCCTCATCAAGTCAGTGAGGCGGCAGATCAATTCATCATTCTTACTTATCTAATGCAGGAGGAAGAGAAATGGGCCACAAAACCAGCTGGGGAGAGAACAGTAGCCAGAAGCAACCCGGGCACTGAAAAATGGGACTTCTTTTATAAAGGGGGGAAAAAAAAAAGATTTCCGTGAATCAATCAAGTTAGGAAGGGGCCGTTCTGAGAGCCAAAGGGAATCTGGCCTGTGAACTTGCTCGGATACCTCTTGTGCATATCTTATTTTTTAAAAAAACAAACTTACTTTCTGTTTGATTTGTTTTGCCAAACAAACACAGTGAAAACTTTAGTCTGACTGATTGTACACAAAATAGAATTTGTAACCAGTAGCAAACATAACAGGATAAACCTAAGTCCCTGGCAAGCTGGATCTCCACCAGCAGGTCACCCAGACCCCCCTTCAATGGCCTCATGGATGGGGAGGTTCTAGGAGACAGAGGCACAGATCAACTGGTCCCCATTAGAACCACAGGCTGCACCTGAAAAGGTCCACCATGAAAAGGAGAACTGGTGGTATTTGGATCTCTATCACTACCCACAGTAGAGTCCTCTCTGTTTGCTGGCAAACCTTAAGGTGTGGTTTTCCTAAACCCAGAGTCGCTGGGCATCCCACCTGCATCCCTCCAGGGTAGGTTTCAAGTTCAGTGATTCTGAAGCCTCTGCCTAACTGGAATAAACTGGGGAGAAAGGGTACACAAAGTCATAACTGCTGGTGTCACCAATTAAGTCTGAAGCCCCAAGTGAAGGTGCCAGGTCACCAGCAAGAATCCAGCTGCCCTAAGCCTCAGTACTGTCAACCACACGACGGGGGGTTTCCAACACCAGCCTGAGGATTCCTAGGGCTGCAAGGTCCAGGAGTTCTGCAGGCCGCAGCGGAATCCATTCACATTCCGTGCTTCTTAGGGATGACAGCCATGGCAAGCTGACCACCCTTCTCACCAGGTTCTTCCCGCAGCTTGGCCTCGGTGAGATGCAAGTGGCAGATGCTGCCCTCAGGGTCTTCAGACCTTCAGGCCACTGTAGACAGCAGCCAAGCTCCGGGATCCGTGTCGCCTGCGCCCACCCCTCCCACCGGAGAAGAGGTGAAGCCCGTGACCTTCCAGTGCACGTGGAGTTGCTGCGTCAGAGCTAGAGGCTGCTACAGTGGGTCTGGAGGCCGCGGAGTGCCCCATGGGCCCCCAGTTGGTGGTAGTAGGGGAAGAGGGCTTTCCAGATAGTGGCTCGGACCATTCGTACTCTTGTTGTCTGGCACCACGGAGGAGGAGCTCCGCGCAGACTGAACAAGCAGCGGGACATCCTGGTGCTGATGGAAGTGAAGTTGGAAGAGATGAAGGGTCACATCTTGTGCATTTCTTAAACTGGACTCAAGAGAAAAACCCTGAGTTGGTATTAGTTGGATGCAAGTGCCAGGCGGGTTGCTGCCCTCATCAGCCTCAGTCTTCCCACCTACAGAATAGGGATGTCCTGCAGTGGCCCAGTGGACACAGAGGCACTTTGCCGCGGGGGTGAGGGGGGACGCTCTGTGAAAGCGCAGGGGACGTGTCTGCAGGGGGCCGTGTAAGCAGGAGAAGCGAGACAGGGTCCAGGGGCATTTCAGGACCCAGGCCCGGAGCTGGCAGCCTGCAGTCTTATCACTGATTGGTTAAACCCACCTCCTTGGCAGCCTCCTGTCCTCAAAGGCCAGCAGCAGCCTGGGGCCACTTAGGAGCTCCACCCTCACACCCTGTGGGGGAGGCGGAGTCGCCCGCCAGGTTCCAGTTTGATTCCTGACTCTCTTGACCACCTCACCCTCTGGAGCCCCCAGCGACCCCAGCATCTTCTGCTCTGAGCTCTCAGGTAGGGAATTTAACTGTGTGACTGTCAGCTGGTTGTCACACTCCATCGCAGAGGCAATGGGGACAATGCTGAGTGGATGCCCACATCAGGTGCTTCTGTGTCACTGAAGTCTGGATCATTCTCTGTGCGTGGGGCGCGTTTGCTTCCTGCTCCTTTATATTCCAAGTCCCTCTTTATATGCGTGATCTCAATCCTCACAACCCCCCATGGCAAGAATTTTTATTTCCATTTTCCAGAGAGGAAAACCGAGGTATAGACACTACCTAAAAAGTAAGTGGCAGAGCTGGACACAGACCTCCACCTACTCATCAGTCTGGTTCCTAAGACCTTCTGCACCGCTTCACGGATCACCTCACTGAAGAGGGACGGGAGGAAAGAAGATGTGATCTTCTCCCCCCTCCTGGCAAGAAGGTCATCATCCAGATAACTGATCAGGGAGTACGAGGGAGCCTCTGCCCTAAGTCAGACATGCTTATGTGTGTTTGAGGAGCTTCTGTGACAAAGCCAATTGTTACCCACTGAGGGTGCTGGGTTCTTTGTGTTCAGCAAAGAATTGAAGAACAGGACACAGAGATACAAGCAAGAAGTGGGTTTATTGCAAAAGCGACAGAGACTTCTGCTAAGAGAAGGGGCCCCACAGCTGGGGGTCCAGTGGGGGAGTTTTGAGTCTCTGGAAGTTCCTCCTCCCCTGTCCACGTGCTCCTCACTATTATTGATTGGTGTCCCCTCTGTCCTTGCGTCTGTTTTAGTTTTTCTGTTGGATCCCCACTTAGGAGCAGGAGTACGGAAGTGTCTGTCTGGTTGGGTCCCCCACTTGTGTCCCCGGGCGCTTTCATCAAGCAGGAAGTTGACCTCATCCGAAGACCCTCTCCATGCTCCTTGGTTCTGACCCACTCACCACCTTGCCCTGGCTGCCCGAGCCCTTCTTCATCTCCCTCACAACGTCCTCTGGGTGAAGATTCTCTTGTGAGTGCTGTTTGGGTTAGAATGGAGAGCTGAGTGGTGGAAGGACTCAGTTCAGATTGGCCAATATGTAACAGGTATTGATCATCACTGGAACCACAGAAATGCAAAAGATGGGAACTCTCAGAATGCTCCCCAGCCTGCAGGCACAGCCTGGGGACCAAGGTGCTGTCAAGCCAACTCTGGGTGTAAAGCACTGTAGAGAGAGGTGGACAGACAGCCCCTGACGGGCCCTGAACGCCTGGCAGATGAGCCTGAGGTCACTGAGGTCATGGCCCAGCCCTGCGGGTGCTGGGACCAGTAGGAGATGGGCTTTTCTCCCACCAAACTGGGCCCCCAATCTCATTGGTAAATAGAGGAAGTATCTGGGCCAAGTTCCCAAAAGGGGGTTTCACCCCAGCAGCTCAGAGGTGGGCCTGGCTCCCCAGGAGAACACTCCCCAGAGGCCTCTCCTGGGCTGCGGGTCTCACTGTCACCACAGAACTGGAAGGGACGCCTCTTTCTAGCTCCAGGGAACAATCTTAGTTTTTAGGGAGTTTGACTTCTAGTCTCTTAGGAGAGCTGACAGAGAGTCAAAAACTCAACTACTCCTAGAGCTTTGGACGTGAGAAACACCCCCCACCCCCAGGGCCTGCCCACAATCCCTTCCTCGAAGGAGGAAGAAGGCGCATCTGTGGCCAGTTCCCGCAGAGCAGAGACCCACCGACCTGGCTTCCCGTGTTCACTTCCACCAGGATGACAGGTTCGTTTGCTGCTCTAAAAACAGATTTTGCTTCCAGCTGCAACCGTCCAAAAGTGAACTGAGACTAAGCCACCCCCGCCCTGCAAAAAAAAAAAAAAATCCTTGGGGCCCCTTCTCTTACTGACTTTAAAAAATATTGACCAGTCTGAGCTGAAACTCTGTTCTGTTCTCTTGCATTTCCTACTGTACATGCAGCATCTTCGAGATGCTTGTATTCTTGGGCGGAAGAGCACAAGGGCAGATTGAGAAAGGCCAAGACATGAGGGTCCCTCTTTCTTCCTCTCTTCTTTCTCCATTATCCTCTCTCTCCCTGTCTCCCTCCCTTTCTCCTTGCAAAACCAGGAAATAGGTAAATAGCTCTGCTGTCCACACAGCAGGAAGTCAGGACATTGGCCAGCCTACCAGTGAGGTTGTGGATTCAAGACTGAGCTGCAAGAAGGGGCCCTCAAGGTAGAAGCTTCCAGAAATGGGCCTTGAGTTAGAGGGTTAGAGGGTCCAACCCTGGATTTATGATCACTGTGTGGGGTTGTCTCAGGACCCTGGCATCGCATGGTGGCTTTCCAGGAAGGCAAGGGCTCATTAGGTAAGATGAGCAGGAAGTGAGGATTTCTATCACTGGGAAAATCCTCTAGTTGTGATGGGGAAGGGATAGTCCATCTGTGGCTCTGTCCACTCGGAACAGAGGGAATCAGCAGAACTGACTTGAGCACTGGCCTAGGAGCCAAGGAGTCAGCCAGGCCTAGCTCAGGCTCACTGTCACTTGGGACTTGGGACAAGCAGGCAACTCCTCTGTTGCCCCCTCCTCCCGCTGCTCCTCCTGCTGCATAAGCAGGTGTAGCTTTTTCCAGAATAAATGCTATACTCTCTTGCTTCTCCAAGTGCACACCAGAACGCCGAGCCCTGGCCTGGATCTATCACCACAGGCCCAGGGCCTGCTGAGCGCACTGAGGTCTGAGGACTGAGCTCTGCTCTTGCGGGTCTCTGTGACCTGCTCCTCTCTCTCGGAGGATACTTCAAACAGTGCCCAACAGCACACTCTGCATGAGGCAGGACATGGGTGAGGAGGAGCGGGATGTGAAAGAAGATCCTTAAATATTCTCTTTATTCATCCATGAGAAGTCATTTTAAGAATTCCATGTTCTCAGAAACATTTTCTGATAGCCATGTATGTGTCCTTCTTTTGCCAAGGATTTCCCCCCGTGGGTGTGAGATGTCTTTCAAGCCCTCTGTGAATGTCTCTTAAATCACCTTAAACGCTGGGTGGCCTTTCCCCAGCTGTCTCTGCCGAGGGGGGTGTTACGAAGAGAGCCAGACACACTGTGTATGCAGTCACCGTTCCCAGCCTCTGTTTCTGCTGACCACTTGGTGAATTAGCAGCTTTACCAAGCGTTAGAGAGCACTCACTCCATCCTGGGGAAAGAGGCCACAGAAAGTTAGTTTCATGAATACACATGAGATTTGCCAAAAACAACTTGTGTCCAAAGTGGGACCGACAGGCCATAAAGGGGCAGGAGTGAAGGAGGAGGCTTCAGAGAAGGAAGTTTCTGGAAGGCTTGTGCTCAGACTGGATGTAGAAAATTCACACGTAGAAATCCTAAACCCTAACCCCAACACGATGGCGTTAGGACAAGGGGCCTTCAATAGGTGATTAGGGCATGAGTGTGGACCTCCCACAAATGAGATTAGTCCCCTTATAAAAGGGACCCCAGAGAGCTCCCTCGCCCTTCTGCCATGTCTGTGTGGGAAAACAGCTGGCCATGAGCCAGGACGACACCTCATCAGACATGGAATCTGCTGTCACCTCAGTCTTGGACTTAGGGCCTGCAGGACTGTGGGAAGCACATGTTTGCTGTTTAGGCCACCCGTCTATGGTATTCTTGTTACAGCAGCCCAAACAGACTAATTTGAATGAGGACTCTTAAATGGTACCTTTAGGGAAGAAAGTCACCATCTGAAACATCTTCCTTATAAATGTCCTTTGAGAACATAAAACCAGTAACAAGAAATTGTTAGGTTTAGAGAATGTCCCCAGTTGCTAGCAATTCAACCTTTAGGTTATGCCCCTGTATCTCTACTAGTGACCTTTTAAGTGGCACAAAAAAGAGGTATTTACATCCAAAAGACACCTCAGTCCTATCTACAATGCAGCATGGAGAAAGAGTTTTGATCAATTTTCCAGATAACTCCAGGCCACCCCCCCACTCCAACTACCCCTGTACATAAACCATCATCATGGCCTTTTCCAAAACTATCTGGAAAAATCAATCATGTTATTTGAGCTAGGTCAGAACATATTATCGCCTGGTTGTGAAGTGTCCCCACAAAACTCCTGTATTAAAAAATATATATTCAAGAAGAACTAACACCAATCCTCTTCAAATTATCCCATGAAACAGAAAAGGAGGGAACCCTTCTAAACTCATTCTACAACGCTAATATCACCCTGATACCAAAACCAGACAAAGGCACATCAAGGAAAGAAAACCTCAGACCAATATCCCTGATGAACATAGAGGCAAAAATTCTCAATAAAATACTGGCAAATCGCATACAAAAACATATTTAAATGGTAGTGCACCATGATCAAATGGGGCTCATTCCAGGGATGCAAGGTTGGTTCAGCATTCGGAAATCAATAAAGTTAATTCATCACATCAATAAAGACAAGAATCCTATGATCATCTCAATAGATGCAGAAAAAGCATTTGACAACATTCAGTATCCATTCATGTTCACAACACTAGAAAAACTAGGGACAGTAGGAACATCCCTCAATATCGTAAAAGCTATATATGCTAAACACAAGCCAACATCATTTATTTATTTATCATCATAAATGGAGAAAAATCAAAAGCATTCCCTCTAAAAACTAGAGCAAGGCAGGGATGCCTTCTTTCACCACTTCCATTCAACATAATCCTTGAAACTCTCGCCAGAACAATTAGGCAAAAGAAAGAAATTAAAGGAATACAAGTAGAAAAAGAAGAACTCAAACATTTGCCAATGATGTGATTCTATATTTAGAAGACCCAGAAAACTTCCCGAACTCATAAATGAATTCAGCAAAATAGCAGGATATAAAATTAAACCCATAAATCAAACATTTCTATACACTAATGACAAATCAGCTGAAAGAGAAATTAAAAGAAGTATCCCATTCATAATTGCCTAAAAAATATATAATACAAAAGAAAAAAATAAAATACTTGGGAAAATGGGACTATTCAGAGGTGAAGTGATTAGATTATTGATGAACCCAGCCTAATTCCGTCTTAAGATTGGGAGTCATCTCGTCACAAGGTTATGAGAAGTTCATTTCTGTTTTACTATAACACACTAAGATTTCTACTGGGCCTGATCATCTGATGTTTAAACTTGCTTGGAATTCCTGCCCATGCTCTGAACTCAATCATGCCTGGCTCTCCTTGACCAGGTAACCACCCTCCCCCAAAACTCAGGGGCGCCTCATAAATTCTGATGTTGGAATCTCGATTGACTCTCTGCCTTGAAATGTTAAGCCATGCAGATCACTAACCTGCTATCTGCCTTTGTGTTACCTTTGCCAGAACCCCGTTAGCTGTAAGTTCCCGAGACACCCCCTTTGTAACTCTTTGTGCTATCCAAACCTTTCTGGGCTGTTCTCTGGCCCGGCTTTGGGTGAGACAGCCGCTGGCCAGCTCTCTTGGGTTCACAATACAAACTTGCTTCAGTTTGGTTGAAAATTGGAGTTGATGGTCTTTTCTTCACGTTGTGAGTCCAACAACTGAAGAGAGCTGTGACCTAATCAGTCCATCCTACTCTGAGTGGTCTGACTGGGTGGTAACTGGACTCAGTGGAGGCATAGCTGGAAGAGGTGAATCCCTGGGACCTGTCCTGGAAGGGGGTCTTCTCTATGGTCTCTTCTCCCTACCCCCCACATCCTGACACGATGGAGAATTATGTGGCCCTGAGCATCATGGTGCCAAGGTCACAAAGCTTGGTCTAGGACACGGTTGGAGTCTCCACTCACTGCGGATGACAGTAGTACTGAAGGACAGACGCAGTGCTGCTTCCCTGTCATTTACTGGAACCCAGGAGAGTCAATGTGAAGTCTCCAGCGACGAACCAGGTCACACCACCTTCAAGACTTGTGTCCAGTCATGCTCTGCTGCCCCTGTGGGCCATCCCACAATGGCAGACCTCTTATCCACACTTCAGTCCCCCAGAGGGACTTCTGGGACTTAGCTTCTTCCAATCCTGGTATCTTGGAATAGATCAGGGTTCTGGGAGATCAGGAGAAACCCAGGTCCCATCCATTTCCCAGGCTCCAGGCATAAAAATGAAGAAAGGCAAAGCAAGGTTATAAAAATTCCTGTTCACTTGAGATATTTGCATATAAGCAATCAATACTTCTACCTCCCAAATAATGGAATAGAATATGCTTGTACCATTCACGATACAATTTTGGAATTCATAAAATTGATATAATTTAATTCATAGTGCCTGGGGGGAGGGCAATAATGGGACACAACCTCTAAGATGCACGGAGGAAGTTTTCTTTTCTTCAGACCGTCAGTGTAACTGCAAATATAACCTTTCTTGAAAATAATATTAAAGATCTAAATTTATAGCTCCTTCAGGCAATGTCAAAAACAAACTGCAAAAGTTCAGGGGCAGAAAATAACTGTGCAGGCATGAAATACTTACATATTTGAGTAATTTTGAATTTATAGTTAAAACAAAGACTGGAAATGCTGGGGAGTATTCTAAGTGGTATGTGGGTGGCTGTATGAAATTTTACAGCAAAATTTTGGTGTTGTTATCCCATTGCACAGATGGAGAAAAAAATGCAGAGAGATTAAGTGACTCACCCAAGGTCACACATAGAATCAGAAATTCACACTAAAGGAGCAAGGCTCCAGAGGTTACAACCTTAACCATTTGATACAGAGCCTCTAAAGAGCAGTACGGTGTAGTGCTGAGGGTATAGGTGCTAGAGTCAGACAGACAGTTCATGGTTTTATTTTGTTGTTGTTGTTTTGGTTTTGATACTGGGAATTGAACCCAGGGGCAGTTTACCACTAATCCACATCCCAAGCCCTTTTAATTTTTTTTTATTTTATTTTGAGACAGGGTCTTGTTAAGTTGCTTAGGGCCTCACTAAGTTGCTGAGACTGGCCCTGAATTTGCGATCCTCCTGTCTCGGCCTCCCAGGTTGCTGTGATTACAGGCATGTGCCATCCGGAGCCCTTGAGTTCCTTACTTTATCTAAAGCCAGGGTGCTCTACTGCAATATGAGCACAGTGGTCCCCCTATGGCAAGCGAGGGCATTGGGATCTGAGAACAAGCCCTGGGTTACACAGCAAGGATTCAGTCATCACAGCTGTGCTGAGCTCAGCTCCTGCATCCCCAGATTAATTTAAAATAAAAACAAAAACAAGGGTAGGAGACAGCAGGTGGGTTGGTCAGGGCCACACAGCAAACCAGTTATGGGCCTCAGGACATAAGGTCCTTTGCACATCACCAGCAGCTCTAAAGCAATTGATCCAATCTCGTTCACGCTGTCCCCTAACAACATCTTTCTCAAGTTGCTCCTTCCAGGACTCCAGATAGGCTTCTGCTGACTTGCAGGGCCATGCCGCCACCCTCAGTGGTCATGTGCCAAAATGAGTAAAGCAGGAAGGAGCAAGGGCAGAAGCCACAGAACAAAAGGAGCCAGAAACCCGGTAGAGATCCAGGCATAGTCTTGGAGTGTCCACTAGGTGGAGCCACATTCCAGCATGAGAGAGAGAGAGAGAGAGAGAGAGAGAGAGAGAGAGAGAGAGAGAGAGAG